TAGATTTATACCAATTGTAGCCAAATAACCATTTATCGCTCAAGATAAACTGACAGAATATAACAATTTATCGCACCTTGGGCTAGAATGTCCTAAAATCATCGGTCGAGAGACGTCACATGGTGACCTACTATAATTCGATAGTGGGTCACTGTGTCCCGTTCGATGGTGTTATAGGGGGTCTCTTTGATTTAATGGCGCTGACCACATCAATCGCTTCGGAAAATGAACTGTGTTTTACTTAACAAAATCGCCTCTTCGGCCATGATGTTGAATACAGTTGCTTCCTTTGTCTTTCGAAAAAACCATGACAAGAATAAGTTATTCCCCTTACATCGTAGAAAATCGTAGAGGCTCCGCCCTGGCCCCCTATAAATTTTACTGATCCTCTATGGCTCTATAGAGGGTCAGTAAGTGGCTAACTTATAATAACTACCTGTAACAGAAACAGGTGTACAAAATGGTAACTACCTGTAACAGACAGGTGTACAAAATGGTACCTAATTGTAACAGACAGGTGTACAAAATGGTAACTACCTGTAACAGACAGGTGTACAAAATGGTACCTAATTGTAACAGACAGGTGTACAAAATGGTATCTAATTGTAACAGACAGGTGTACAAAATGGTACCTAATTGTAACAGACAGGTGTACAAAATGGTACCTAATTGTAACAGACAGGTGTACAAAATGGTACCTAATTGTAACAGACAGGTGTACAAAATGGTACCTAATTGTAACAGACAGGTGTACAAAATGGTACCTAATTGTAACAGACAGGTGTACAAAATGGTATCTAATTGTAACAGACAGGTGTACAAAATGGTATCTAATTGTAACAGACAGGTGTACAAAATGGTACCTAATTGTAACAGACAGGTGTACAAAAATAGTAACTACTTGTAACAGACAGGTGTACAAAATGGTACCTAATTGTAACAGACAGGCGTACAAAATGGTAACTACCTGTAACAGACAGGTGTACAAAATGGTACCTAATTGTAACAGACAGGTGTACAAAATGGTACCTAATTGTAACAGACAGGTGTACAAAATGGTATCTACCTGTAACAGACAGGTGTACAAAATGGTAACTACCTGTAACAGAGACAGGTGTACAAAATGGTATCTACCTGTAACAGAGACAGGTGTACAAAATGGTACCTAATTGTAACAGACAGGTGTACAAAATGGTACCTAATTGTAACAGACAGGTGTACAAAATGGTACCTAATTGTAACAGACAGGTGTACAAAATGGTACCTAATTGTAACAGACAGGTGTACAAAATGGTACCCAATTGTAACAGACAGGTGTACAAAATGGTATCTAATTGTAACAGACAGGTGTACAAAATGGTACCTAATTGTAACAGACAGGTGTACAAAATGGTACCTAATTGTAACAGACAGGTGTACAAAATGGTACCCAATTGTAACAGACAGGTGTACAAAATGGTATCTAATTGTAACAGACAGGTGTACAAAATGGTATCTAATTGTAACAGACAGGTGTACAAAATGGTAACTACCTGTAACAGACAGGTGTACAAAATGGTATCTACCTGTAACAGACAGGTGTACAAAATGGTAACTACCTGTAACAGAGACAGGTGTACAAAATGGTATCTACCTGTAACAGACAGGTGTACAAAATTATGTTTACCTGTAACAGACAGGTGTACAAAATGGTAACTACCTGGAACAGAGACAGGTGTACAAAATGGTAACTACCTGTAACAGACAGGTGTACAAAATGGTATCCACCTGTAACAGACAGGTGTACAAAAAGGTATCTACCTGTAACACAGGTGTACTCACTGATATCTACCTGTAACAGAGGCAGGTGTTCAGAACTATATCCCAGTGACAACTGGTGCAGGCAAAAATATTGAAATATGTTAATCTGGAATTACATTATATCAACAATGTCTGGTGTTTTAATATAATTTTAGAAACCTTCAAGAATCTGAAGGATTTTAGATACTGGAATTTTGGATTTACATGATGTCAACATTTGTGTGTGATATGCTATGGAGAAATATATGTATGGTTATATATTGTGCATCACCCATTGAAATTAAAGGGAGACAGTATTTAAAGAGGGACTAATTGTAAAGAACATGTAAATGTGTGGTTCACCCTTAATCCAATCTCCAGTAAATTAACTTTGGACAACTTTTCAATCAAAATTTGTTAAATGTTTGCTAAACTTGCAGTTTTTATCTTTGTTGCCCATTGTGGGTCAGAAGTACATGTTTTGGTTGGTACATCCTGCACCACAAAGTCAAAATGAATGTCATGTAAAGTTCTTTTTTTATTATATACAAGATTGTGACTTTTTATCAGGTCAAAGGTCAAAAGATGTCCAAAGTGAACAGCATTTTAGGTCACAAGATTGTGACCTTTTATCAGGCCAGAGGTCAAATAAATATAAATTAATCATCAGTTCATTTATGTATATGAAACTATACCTGCATTAGTAACGGTTGCAGTAGAACACTGTAATGAAACAGCAGCACAGTCTTTTAAATCTTCAAAGTATATGCAAATACTGAAATATATGCAAATATATGCAAATACTAAAAATATATGCAAATATATGCAAATACTAAAAGGTATGACCTAAGCACAAATAGAGCATAATCAATGTTAAATAAATACATCTGGAACCCTATAGGTACTTATATATTGAAACATCAAATAAAAAAAATTAAAATTTAAAATTTGGTAAAGAATTGTGCACTTTATATCTATTTGTGTCTTATTGACTATAAACATGTAAAAGTGATGTAATTAGTGAGATTGTACTGAATGCAGAGTGCAGGTTTGTAACAAATAAATTTCATATTTGATATCAGAATAGATTTGTGTAATCTATTTTTTTAATATTTCTGTTTTTTGGTAGCTTAGAGAAGTGGTCCTTTACTGAAGAGGCCTCCACATAGTAAGGACTTGAAACAGCTTACATCTTTAATTTTCTATGTACACAGACAAACATCCTTTTATTACTGAGTAGATTGTTTGTTATTATTCATATGTTTATGCATGTCTATAAATACATGTATATATAACCAGAGAAGAAGGCGGCATCGTCGTCCGTATGAAAGTTTTCCAAGCTTTCTTCGATAATGCTTTGGGTTATCAAAATGAAATTTGGCATATGACTTTTTGTTGCAAGGGTACAGATTAAGGTCAATTCCCAGCTTTCTGTGACCTTTTTTGACAGAGTTATGCCCCTTTCAACTTAGAAAATTCTTTGGGAATATTGTTTTCTTGACTTTCTTTGGTTATGCTTTGAGTTATGGAAATGACATTTGCTATATGCTGTCTGTGACCCTTCTTGGCTGAGTTATGCCCCTTTGAACTCAAAAAATTCTCTGGTAATGTTGTTTTCCAGATATTTCCCAATTATGCTTCGAGTTAACATAATGAATATGGCTTCTTGGTGGAAGATTACAGATCGAGTTCAATTCTCAGCTCTCTGTGACTCTTCTTGACCCATTGAACTCAAATTCTTTGGGAATATTGTTTTCTGGAATTTTCTTGGTTATGCTTCGAGTTATGAAAATGCAATTTTGTATATGAGTTCTTGTCAAAAGTTATGCACAGTGTTCGCTTCTTGGCAGTCCGTAACCCTTCTTGGCAGTGATATCTCCCTTTGTCAGGAATATTGCTTTGCGCATTTTTCCCTTTATGCTTCAAGTTATAGAAATGAAATTTGGTATTACAACTTTATGGTTGATCGTTACACATCCAGTTCACAATTTCTGGGTGACCATGACCTTTTATGCAGGTGACACATACATTTCCGAGGAACTCTTGTTGGGGTCCCATCTTTCATCCTCTCATTCTCATACAGTTTCTGGCCGATGGCCTATTTTGAGGTCTCATCTGCTAATCTTTCATTCTTATACAGCTTTTGGCTGATGGGTATTTTTTATGGTCTCATCTTCTATTCTCTCATCCTCATACAGCTTCTGTAGTAGTAGATTAATGGATGGTTATGTAGACATGTGACTGCAGCAGAAGATGTATGGATGGTTATGTAGACATGTGACTGCAGTAGTAGATGTATAGATGGTTAAAGACATGTGACCACAGCAGTAGAAGTATGGATGGATATTTAGACATTTGACTAGAGCAGTAGATGTATGGAGGATTATGTAGACATTTGACTGCAGCAGGAGATGTATATAGCTTCTGGCCGATGGCCTCTTTTTGAGGTCTCATCTTCTATCCTCTTATTCTCATACAGCTTCTGACTGATGGCCTATTTTTGAGATCTCATCTGCAAACCTCATTCTCATACAGCTTCTTGCCAATGCCCTCTTTTCGAGGTCTCTGAGGAAATAAATGAGGACGAAAATACTTCAATAGAGAACTATTTAGAACAGGATCCTAACTGGGATTTTTTTCAGGGGGACGCCGTTTCGGAAAGTGGAGGTAGTGAATCAGAATGTAGTGAAGTGTATCTCTTGCTTTCTTAGTCTATTCACAGTAAATCTTCAATTACTGTGTCACAGCAGGATAAACAGGAAACTGACAAGTCCCAACTTGAGAATGAACCCTCTGATGATATGAGTGATGAGAGTGATCTTGATGTAGAGACAGTGTTGAGAGATGTGAAAAAGTTGTACATCAAGAGAGTAATGAAATCTGACACCTCCAAAACAGGAAAAAAAAAGAAAAAGTATAGGGCCTATAACAGCTATCAGTTTTGTGGTGTTTGTAATATCAGAGTTTCAACTTTGCACAACATATAGAAAGAAGTCGCCACAAAAACATGAGATACAAAAAGAAAAAGACTCAAAAAGGAAAAACAGACTCCATACTTTGCTCAGAGGCAGGTTTAAATCCTGAATTTAACATGACATCAATAAAAAAAAGTGTGAAATAATCCTTGAAAGAAGGTCATCATCTTTTTAACAGTTGCCCATGACCAAATAGTTTTCGCTGGGTGGGGAAAAAATGAAATTGCAGAAGCATCAGAAGACTTGTTCGGCAAGGACAAAGGATGTTGAACGAAAACCTCATCTAAACTTTAAACAGCATCAGATACATTTTTCAAAAGAATTCAACCAATCACAAGCAGGAATTTTGTGAAAGAAGTATTTGGGAAAATAAAGATGGGCAATATAGGAAAGACTGCAAGAAATAACAGTATCATCACCCAATTAGGAAACCAGTGGATGGAGAAGAATTGGAATAATTTGAAGAGAGCCAGCTATCCATCAGAAATTGTTGGTAGATTACTGCTTAATTTAAAAAAAAACTTTGAAACTGATTCCATTAGGTCCTAATGGTAAAGAGTCAAGTCCTTATCTGAAACCTGAACATTTTGATGCAATTGTGGAGGCCACCTTATTGGTTGCATCTCCTTCAGTCGAAGATGACGACAATCCCAAGCACCCAAGCAATGCAATTAAACTTGGCTTTGACACTAAGCGTATGATTTCTGGAAAATTTGGTCTGGTAATAATACAGAGAGACCAAAAAACACATGGTGAAGCGGAAGACCTCCTGCAGGCAATGGCAATCTACTGGGCAACAGGAGTAACAAAATGGCCAAGGTTTTTCTGCAGCAGAGGATGTATAGGAAAAGTCACAAACTTCCAGAGCCTGATGACATTAACAAGCTCAATGTACAATCAAAGCCGACCTGGAGAGCTCCAGGCTATTGGGTAAGATTTTATTCATTTATGAAGTTGAATTTGAAAAGCTGAGGAAAATGAATCGCTCATATGATCCACAGCTGAAAGCACTATCAATTATCATAAGTTCCTTGTAAATATTCTCGTGTTTCTTTTTCATATGGACATGTGCAAGATCAAAATATTCCATCAAAGAGTACATTTCGTCAATTTCCATATACAAATGACATACAATATTAGAATGAAAAAAATCCCATATGAATCTAACTAGGTTGATATCTGAATGTTCATGTAACCTTGATAGTGTCAGGACAGTATGTAAAGGTATTTAGATGCAATAGTTTCAATAGTCATTAAATAGAATGCAGCCAGAAAATGTGCAAGATATCCTATTAAACCATTTGCAGATTGACAAGACTACAAAGAGTGACAAGAGGAGGAAGATGTCGAGCATTTGATTGGAGATTGTACAACATTTGAAAAGAAACTGTGGAGAACCAGGTGGTTATCACAGTGTAAGGAAAGGTATTTATTTAATTTGTTATATCTGAATTGTTGGAATGAATGGTGCATTGGTCAAGCCTTTTATTAGGCACATAGCGTTACACCAAACTGAAACTATAGTACTCGCTAATAAGAAGGCCTGTGGATATAGCTACAATCAACAACACTGTCATGGTAACATACCACATGCATCTCGGCAAATTCCAACTCGGAAGTCCTTTATAATTTGATCACATGTAAACACTATGAAAATTTCACCAGTAAAGCTGATTTTTGGTGATATAATGAACAAAAATATCACCATGGCCACACCGCGAAAATAACCTTAAAATAACTATATAAGAATAATCAATATATGATGACAGTTTTGATGGAATGCATGTATTGACAGTCTTTATTCAGTGTCACAATTACCTTTTTTTGACACTTGATGACCATCCTTTAACCTTTATTGCACAAAGCCTCTTGTTCCACTTTATTTATCAACCTGTAACTTCTCTCATAAACCATTTGTCAGTTGCTACGAAACTTGGCATAAATGGATCAGCAACATTGATATTGGATTTTGAAAATTTGCTTCTATTATCAGCAGAATTTTTTTGCCTTGTTTTGCATCTGAAAAAAAAGTTTTCCTCTAGCCAAAATTTTTTGATAAAATGCAATACTTTTGGCCAAGAAAAGTTGGTGGCAAGAAACACTAACAAAAAAAACTAGTGAAACTCCACCGATACACATGTCATTTAAAACCATTGCGAAAAAGTTGGCTAGTTACAAAAATATCGGCTAAGAACAAATGCACTAATTTGTTCAGCCATAGATATTTTTCAGGAAAAGTTTTGAAATTGATGTTAATTATTTCTAGATAAATAATATATAAACTTTTATTTTCTTTGAAAAATTCCCATAATTCTTTGACAATATAGTGCTGTGCTACCAATCATAGGGATTATATTTCAAATATGATTTTTATAAATATGTAACATTGTTATGCTTCAGGTGCACAGATGATGTCTTAGAAAAAACAAATAGCCAAGATACTACTACAAGACCGTGTGGGAGAGTTTCGGATAAATCCCTACAAGACATCCAAATAGAAGGTTTGTTTCCTTTGAATCAGATTGATGGTGCTTCAATTCAACTTATAAAATAACAAATTTTTACTAATCCAAAGAATATTTCAAAGTTTTTTATCTGTACATCAATCTTGAGTCCTAGTATTGTTTCCTGCTCTGACACACCAGAGAATCATTACTACTATACTAAAAGTGTGAATTAAAATATTTTAGTAATGAAAAGTGCATCAGTTCTAATGAAAACAGATTCTTTCTTGGACCACCATCTTTTCTGAATAACCTTAAAACACTATTTTGTTATCACCAGGCTTAGTAATTCCTTCCTTCTAACCTTCATGACCTAGACCCAGTATTTTTTGTATATTTTCACATTGCCAAAGGACTGTAAATAACTATCTGAACAATATGAGTTTAAAACAATTAAGTAGAAATAAAATGACTGAAGTGGCCATTATTATATGAAGATATCTTTATTACAGGCCTTATCCAAGAGTCATCATTCGCTGAACTGGATGAAAATGAGGATTTACACATGACATCACCAGACATTGTAGGTGCCATTGAGCCATGTGATTTTTGTGTTGGATATCGCCAAAAAATTTGAATACATATCGAAGCCCATAAAAAATACGAAAGTCTGCTGCTCTTCAAGAAACAGAAAAATAAGACCAACACCACATCAATGTGGGAAAGCAATTGACCCAAGCAGGGTTAATGATGGAAAAATTTTGGAAAAGAAAAATTGAAGATGTACTGGAAAAAAAACTTTCATAATTGTGGATAAACTGAATGCAGGTCGGAAACTCTAAAACTCTTTGATGCTATTTCTGCTGTTCTAATTTGTAGAAAAGCTGATTGTGGGTCAGAAACCTACAAGAGATTGTCTTGTCATCATTGGGGAGCAGTTTGTAGATGATGGATTGATCAAAGTTCTAATGTGAAGTCATTTATTACCAACTTTTTATTAACATTGTCAAACATGGCTCTTTATGTTAATACTTAATTTTGACCACTTGATTTGTATCATAAATTTTTAACATCTTGTGCATCCGTTGTCATTCCTTCATGCAACAATCTTGAATAAACTAGGATCAAGGTGTGTGTATATATATCATAGTACAGTTTTGTATAGAATATATATATATTCGTTTTGTATATATTTATAATGTACAGCTCCATTTTGTGGAGAACTTTTATACACAAAACATTCAATGGAGTTACTTCTATTTTTCAAATTGTTGATACCAAAAATATAAATGATTAAAAGTATTTTTAAACGTCAAGAAAGAGCAAATGCAGATTTGTATCTTGCATGAATTGTCTCTTGATGAAAAATCACCTGCAAGCATTGAAACAGTGATTAGTTTTTAATCAAAAGGAAGAAAAATGTGCCAATACTAATTGTAGATAACGAATACGATATTTCCATTGACTTGACCATGGATGGATGAATTTCTAAGTTTGCAGTATTTCAATATGCTCAGTATTTAAAAATTCCTGTCAAGAATGTTTGATCAAATGGAAGACCTTGTTCCATTTTCAAGGTCACAGGGATAAATGTTTAATAATCTTTAAATGGATTTCTTAATATCCAAAAAGTTCTGATAACCGGCCCGTAGTATGCTGGAATGAATTACCAATTATGTTCATGTTATTCATATTTTCACTTTTTAAAGGTCACAAGGGTCAAATTTGTTGCAATCTTTAATTTATTGACTTCTTGTCAATAACAAAAAGGTCAAGGCTGTTGAAACTGGTTTTTCAATGTTCGTGGATGAAGGACAATCGTTTTCAAATTGACCTTGACCTTTGTTAAAGATCTCTTTGATTTTTTTTTCAATAAGCAATAGGTTCGGAATAATGGCATTTGTGTAGTAGCATGTATAAATATGATTTTAAGTTTGCAGAAAATGTTTCTATGACCAAACAGTATCTTTGTATGCTGTAGAGTAGTTGAGCGGTTTATCTTGGGCTTATTTGTCCTTTCATATATAGGTCTTTATATTCAGAAGACTTAAGGCCCATGGGCCTCCTGTTTATAAAACATTGGCTGGGTAGTTATTACTTAAATTAAACAGCATTTCATACTAGATAGTAAAGAGTTGTAAAGAATTTCTTGCATTTTGCCCATATATTGTTAAACAATATACATTTTTTACTTTTGAAAATCCCTGAGCCAATTTTAATGAAATTTGGTAGATATTTTCATGGCCAAAGGAATGAAGTACTGTCTCCGACCTAGGGGACTTTGGCAGTGTCGAATTGAATCAAATTTTTGAAAATCTCCACAGATATGAAGAATCAAATACTTTTAATAGATGAAAGGGTTTTTGAGATGCTTTAACTCAAATTATGAATTTCATGATCCTTGCATTTTTCCTTGGGAGGGGTATTACGTCAGAAGCTTATATAGAATCTTTTTCTCCAATTCAAAATCTATTAGAATCCATAATATAGGATGACAGTTAATTGTTAACAAGATCAAGATGATTTATGTGATATATGTAACACAGCACAAACAATGTTAATGGAATTTAGGTGACTGTAAAGACCATTGGGTCATTTGTCAGGACACTATCATGCAGTGTTGAAATTTTGGTCAAAGAATTGGAAGATTTGATATGAGTAAGGTTGCTACCAAATAGTTCTACATTTTTTGAAATTCTTCAATGGTGTCCAGATCTGGAAAAGGAAGTTTTCAATTTGTCATTTTTAGATCATCTGACCATGGGTAAGGTTTTGTAGTCAGATGACCTTTGGCCCATGGGTCTCTTGTATATGTTGAAAATTTGAATTTACAATTATGTAAGAATACCTTTGTTTTTGGATAATTAAATCAGATCTTGCCTCTAGCCCAGTAAACTCTCTCCATATTTCAATACATTCACGTTCTGTTTTTTCTCATTTTGTGGTATGTGTGGGTGTAAAAGTTTGTACTTGTATATTTAGTGACGATGACTGAGCTAGTGAAAATGATTGTACATGGATGATACTGATTGTACATGGCACGATGTTGACTGGATGATGAAGAGTATGCATGTGGTAATGTGATGAGTGATAATTGTACATGTGATAATGATTGTACCATGGGTGGTCGGGAGGCGCAGTGGTAACACTCGCCTTTCACGTAGACGACCGGGATTTGATTCCCGGAAAGAACGTGAAAAGGTTAAGGGGTCACCTGCCCGACCACGTGGGTTTTCCCCGGGTACTCCGGTTTCCTCCCACAATAAGACCCCTCGCGCACTTGCATCCGGGCCAACAAAGTGATTAGTATAAGTTGACATAACTTGTTTCGCAATTGTTGTAAAAGAAATCAAGTTTATATCTATTTATAATGATTGTACATTACATCATGATTGTACATGGCACGATGTTGACTGGATGAAGAGTATGCACGTGGTAATGTGATGAGTGATGATAATAGTTGTACATGTGATAATGATTGTACCATGGGTGGTCGGGAGGCGCAGTGGTAACACTCGCCTTTCACGTAGCCGACCGGGATTTGATTCCCGGAAAGAACGTGAAAAGGTTAAGGGGTCACCTGCCCGACCACGTGGGTTTTCCCCGGGTACTCCGGTTTCCTCCCACACTAAGACCCCTCGCGCACTTACATCAGGGCTAACAAGAGTGATTAGTATAAGTTGACATAACTTGTTTCGCAATTGTTGTAAAATAAATCAACTTTATATCTATTTATAATTGTACATAGGGTGATGATTGTACAATAAGATGCATGAGGTGTACAAGTGCTTTGGTGTGTAAGGTGCGCAAGGTTATTAATCATTATTTAAAATACTTTGAAAAATTAAATAAATATATAAAAAAACCTTTTGTGTTCATGTTTTGTATTGTTGAAACTTCAACCAAAGTGTTTTCTATGTACAATGATTGTAAATGGATCATTTACAAAAAATTCGTTTGACTGTGATATTTTATGATCATGATAGCAGATATATCGGGTCTTTTTGTACATTTGGCAATACCCGAGTATAATTCGTAAATTCTTGGGAGACTTGTCCATAATTGTGGGCTTCAACTGTTGTATTCAAGCATATGACCGTCTGGAATATCTGAGGTGATTCGTCCACGACGTCTAGGATGACTTGTCCATAATTTTGGGCTTAAATTACCTTTAAATTCAGGAAGTTGCTGACTGTTATATCTGAAGTAAATCGTCCGGTTAACAATATCGGAGTTGATTCATCTGTGACTTTTGGGATGACTTGTACCTAATTGTGAGCATCAGCCGTGCCAAACAGGTCATTTTAGACTTCATGGACAATCCATAATCCACCATATTTTTAACACACAATTTACAATTCAATCTTTCATGAAAACTGACAAATATATTGTTGGAAAAACGTTGGTTATCATTTATTGGACGCAGTATTCGTGCACGATATATTTTATGATTTGTTCCACATTGACGTGCATTTTCTTTTTTATTAACAAAAGTGATATGGGGCGCACCTCGTATATTTGGATTAATATCCTCGCATATATGGATTTAAAAGGTGCACCACAAAAGTGCTCTTTGTACTTTTTGCAGCTTGCATGTCGAAATACCTCCTCAACTGTACGTACGTGTGTACAGTGAGCTGCTCAGTCAAAAATTACTCGCGTATAGCTCTTCTATGCTGTGAGTGGTGTGTGAACCAGTCTAGCACTTCCCTGTAACTCTCGAGGCATTGCGAATGTACAGCAAGCTGCTCATCCAAAAAAGAGCTTTGTGTAACTCCTAGCCAGTGAGGGAAAAGGTGAGCATTTTATATCATAACATTTTTTCTGTAGACGGAGTGTACAGCATGCTGCTCATCCAAAAAAGAGCTTTGTGTAACTCTCCTAGCCAGTGAGGGTGTGTGAGGGAGAAGGTGAGCGTTTTGTATCATAACATTTTCTTTGTAGACGAAGTGTATAATTCGACACTATTTCAAGTTCACATGTGAAGTTATTCAGTAGTACTCTACTAAAATTAGTAGTGATGATGTCTGCAACTCTCGTGAGAACTTCAATTTTCACATTTAAGAAAAACCCATAATGAATGTCAACTATGACCGGAAATAGATAAGCCGTCTTTTTTATGGTCAAAAGGCCAAGATTTCGAATTCCCTAGAGTATTTTGGAGTTATTTGTAGACCGTAGGTAAATACTACACCAAAATGACAATGTATGGTCCTCTATGTTTGATACCTGTTACAGTTGTGTCGAAACAGGATCTACATTGGTCCTCTGTTTGATACCTGTTATAGCTGTGTCGAAACCGGATCTACACTGGTCCTCTGTATGTTTGATACCTGTTACAGTTGACAGTTGTGTCGAAACAGGATCTACATTGGTCCTCTGTTCGATACCTGTTATAGTTGTGTCAAAACTGGATCTACACTGATCCTCTATGTTTGATACCTGTTATAGTTGTCGAAACTGGATCTACACTGGCATTGTTTAACTGTGCGGGATGTGTTGTCGTTAGTCAGGGCAAAAAAGACACCAATGAACATTTTCACTAGATTGTTTTGATAATATCTAGACACACCTCATTGTTAGTGGTGCTTTAATATAATACAACACACTTAACTGTATAGTACATATCAAATTATTACACCAAATTAAAATTCACATGGACTTCAAAGATCTTTGCATCTTGTATTAGGTCCTGTCAAATGGAGGTATGAAATACATATATAGTTGACTTAAATTCATACGGAAGACATTAAAACTCATTGATAACAAGCAAAATACAAAATGAAATGATCACATTTATGTTCAACGAAACGGAAAGCATTTGCCTTTTTCATTGACATCTAACTTTCAGCTCGGATTTCACAGGGCAGCTTTCGTATTGCCGATAATGTGGGAGGAAAATTGGTTAATTTTTTTCGTGTGACAACTTGGGCTACTACAAAGTTATATTCATATCAACATTATTGTGCACTGTACTCCAGTTAAGTCCCCTTGAAATCGAATTGAACTTGTACGCTCAATGGTGACACCAAGCATTTTTTGTAAATATTTTATTTAAATGTTGACTAATGTGTAATACTATTCCTTTACAACGAGTATGTATTTGCTAGTTGAACCATGCACCTATTAAACTTTGTTTTGTAACTATTACACACTTAAAAATACTGTAAAACAATTTCACAAAGCCGGGAATAGGCGTCTTTATACATTGCCTAACAGCAAGTAGTTGTGATGCGTGGCAGAAAACCCCGATCTCAGTTGCATGGAACTTGACCAATCACCTATTACAACCAGCAACATGTCATCAAATAGTACATGATTTTATCCAATATAATTGATTCTATTTTTCAAATTGGTTTCACCTGTATTGTAGGAGTTTCTTTAGGTAGTTTTCTAACCGGTGTAAATGGAATTAAGCGCCAACCAAATTGGACCGGCTTGAAAAAAGTGAACAACGCATTACTTTCATTTCATTACATTTAATACTGATAAAACAAATACCTTTCAGGCATTTCAACAAATAAAATAAATAAAATGAAAACAATAAATAATAAAAAAACATACATATAACAAACGAAAAATAAAAAGTAAAAAATACAGACATTTGTAATTTAGATATATGTAAATTGAGAACTTATTCATGCTCTTGTGTCTAACAGACATTTTTGTGCAAATAATCTTTTTAATCCATCTAGATTTCAAACATTTTTTTCAAAATACCTTAAGCTTTCAGAGTTATATTGCTTGAGGAAAGCAAAAACAAAAATGTGTTTCACCTTTTTGTAATTTCATGTAACGAGAGAAAAGGGGTCTTTTCTAAATGAATGATCACAATATTATGAACCATAAATGCGTATACTGGTAAATAATCATCTACTGGATATATAATGCTTTTTGGCACTTAACAAGAAAATAATTAAGAAAATAAATTTGAATCACAAAACATGTAATGAAATACCATTTTGAATGGATATTTCAATTACATGTATACACCAACAATATTCAAATGTGCATTATACAATTAATGCAATTCAAATTGGATTATCCAATCAATATCTAGAAAGCAATATCATTTTAAATGGATATCTATGTCTTATGTAAAATACCATTATGAATGGAGATGCACCATGCAAATTACCCACCTAGAATCAGATTCACAATGCAATAAAAAATTTGATGTCCTGACAACAAACGTTTTGTATAAATTCAATATTCATTTGGCATGACAGGTTTTGGAGTTATGGTCAGTGGCCACACATTTCCAACACATTCTTCTCTCCTTTACTCTCTTTTTATGTGAGAGAACTGTGAGTCTGTTTTGCTTTTCTAACACTTGTTTAAGCGCACATGGCACTTTGTGAGAAGTGCCTCTGAAAAACTGCTTTGTTAAAATTTCGCTGAGCTTTTCTAAGCCCTGCTGGCTGTATTGGACAATAGCACCATGTCTTCTGATGAGTTCACCTACATCATACCTAAGCATATGAATGTACGGGGTGACATCTTTGGCTTGATAACAACTTATGTACAAGTCACACCACAACTTTGCTTTGTATTCCAAGTCATCAGCATCTGGGGTGTCAGATTTAATAAACATGTTCAGCTCTCTAAACCCATCCCACAACTTCTGAATCTGAACAGATTTATTTCGGTCATCAAAACACTCAGCTGCATCAAAACGTTAAAGCAGCAAAAGTTTCTCTGGACCAGTGAGCTTACGATACTCTAGCTTTTTACTATTAACGTTTACACCAAGTTCAAAATGTATTCCCAAGATTTGCAACACATTTTCGAGCTTTAAGACATTCTCAAACTTATCTCTATCTGGCACTGTAGAGGTAAAAGTAGAAATTTCTGTTATGCTTTCCATGCAGTTAAGATCAGCAACAAGAAAATTCAATAATTTGCCAGCAGTGCGTAAAAACATGTGAAGGTGATCAATCACAACACGGTGGGGTGAAATTGTAGGGAATAAAGGTTTGTTTGACACAGAGAAACAATTATTGGTATTTTTTCTCCTTTTTCCCTTGGACATATTTTGCCCTTGTACCTCATTGTACTTGTATTCAAGCCTAGCCCCTTGTGTAGTATTATCCATAGACCAAGTTTTTGACAGATCTAATTTCTCAGTTTTGCTACATTTGCAGTAAAGGCAGAAGCACTCTTGTTCTCATTGATAATGGTAAAAGTCATATTTACAATATGAACTCTCTTTCCCACATTTGTGCCATTCCCAGAAATTTTAATTCTGGTGTCTCCATCTGGTGCAAAGTTTTTGTTCATATCTAATATATTACACAACACATTTACCAAGTGTTTTTTCAGAGATTGTTGAACACCAAGACCATCTGGAGTAATTTCAATATTGAACCTAGAATTTAATTCAGCCACAACCTTACTGATAGCATAATTTCTTGGAAGTGCTTTAAATAACATACTCAATTCATGGTACGTTTCATTACTAATACTGAAAGTATCCAAGATCTATATAAGGGTATTTATGTCATCAACATTTTGATTCAACTCTGAATTTTCTTTAGACTCGTAATCAAAAAGTTTCAAAACCTCTTCTTTGTTATTTTTCATAACTGTAACTGAAATAGGAGTAACCCTATTTTCTGTTAGAAAACTCAATGCTGTTCTACACTTATCTGTGTCTCGTTTCCTAAGTTATGATTGATACCCAGGCGTACATTCTGTGAATGGTTTGCGCTTCAATGTTTTTTTCATTTCTTGAGTTTCGGTTGCTAAACTAAACTTACATAACTTTTTGCTTAAGTCATTGTTTTCTTTTTCCTTTTCTTCTAACT